GACCGATGGCAAAATGAATTTTCTTTTCTATCATTTTGCAGCAACATTGCGTATGCGTAATATTTAGAGCTTCGAGCACGTAACTCATACGCACAGGCATAAAAAAGGCACGGGCCAAAAGATAGAGAAAGTGGAAAGCAGACGAGGGGAGGGAGAAAGCGGAAATGCCTTCACACATATTTGCATGCTATAAATGCGACAACACACGCAAATACTCACACACGGAAAGGCAGGCAGACAGACACGCACACACACGCCTACATATTACGCAAATTCCATGCTCAATTTCAGATTTGAGCAAACGGCATACCTGAGCAGCCTATTCGGAATACCCAGCCACGCCCCTCCAGCCGGAGCCCCTTGCCACAGAATTCAACTCTGCTTACGTGTCGCAATGATAACGTGTATTTTGCTGCACAGTAATATCCTGGAACTTTCATTTACTTCAAATTTAAGTCCATATTCTATTAAGTTTTCTTTAAAATTATAAAAATAAATAGGAGGGTGGTTCAATTTTAAAATATATGTTTTATTTTACTGTATGTTTTTAAGCTTCTTATCTTATTAACAATTGAACTGACTTGAGTACTTACTTAAGAATAGATGTTTTCCTGTCTTATAGAACCCATGTACAAATATTACTTTAATTACGCTTTATAAGTCTACAAAACTTGAGGAAAGTCTTTTATTATTTATTTCAATTTAAAAAATGTTTAAGTTGGTATTATATTAAAACGCAATTATAATACGACATTTAATATATAATAATATAATATATTATAATATAATATATTATAATATAATAAATTGTATTTATATAATATAATTATAAAATGTTCCATAGAAAAGTAAGTATTCCATCTTATAAAAGATAAGTCTGTTAGAATAAGTATGAAGACCACCAACCTTAACCATATTTTCTCTCAGTGCCCCGAATAAATCGAGCTAAGTGTACCTGTGTTGAGTGTGTTGGGCCCCAAGTCGAGTTCCGTCTCGGGGGCTAGCCCAAAGTTTCACTTGAAAGCAAATTATGCTGATGACAACAACAGGATTCGGCAGCAGCAGGAGCAACATTGGCAATTGAGGACGTGCGAGAAGTTGGCAGGTCTCCTTGGCAGGGCGACACCTATCGGGGATATTTGGCATTTTTCTCGCCGCATACTTTTGTGCACCATTGATGAATTTTGAATGAATCTGCGGATGAGCAGAGCACCATAGATGTGCCTAATGAAATGGGCTTGCCGAGATTGACAAGAGGGGGAGATTAGATTGGGCTGATTATGGGTTTGTTTGTACTACGAATAAATACACAGAAATAAAAGAAAGTATCTTTATAAATACTATTAGGGCTTTGTCAAAAGAAATGGTAGTATGTTAATATGATATTTAATGTTTAAAGCAAAGAAAGGTTTATAGATAATTTTTAAGATTTTCAAATAGTTTTGATAATATGATAGTAACTTTACATGTATTATGGGATAAAAACAAATATATATTTTATTTTTATAAAAAAGTATGGCTTCCACTTTTTCCAGTCTACAACTTGAATTTTCACATACAATCCGCTAGAGTTCTAATCCCGATGTGGGCACAGCTTGACTACGGATTCAATAACCTACTGCCGCTTTCAGCTTATCTGCAAACAGATTTGCCCAGTTTGCCAGTGATTTATGGCAGGCACATTTGAATTACTTCGCCTACTTCCCAGAGCACAGATCTGTGTCTTTGGGTAATTGTGTCCCCCAGCCAGATCATATATCATCGTTTAGTGGTCTTGCATATGCCAGCGGCAGTTTAAACAACAAGGCCCGCTCTGATTTTGTCATTGACATATATAAGCCACGCCTTGTGGCCACCAAGTGTATCCACGGAATAGATCAAGGGGCTCCCAGCTACTTGAGTGCCCCGCACACACTTTCGAATCCATCACACTTGTGAAAACATAAACTTTCGCATGCGATACATTTTCGATGTTATTCTGTTTTGAGAGGCAATAAAAGAGATGACGCACTTTTGGCTGAACCAAATCAAATAGGAGAAGAATATTTTTCAGCAAGAACCACACTCAATCGAGTCGAGCTCATAAATTCACCACTATCAATCATACGCACTATTTGCTGCTCAAGACGATAAAACACTAAAAATGTTCGATTTAATAACCGAATAAGAAGAATGTATGAAATAAAAACAAGGCGAGAAATCACAAACTGCATTTTTGCATGCAAAACTCGAATAATTAAAATAAACGTTTTCAGAGACAACAAACCGCTGGGAAAACACTCGATTAAAAGACATCATCAATAAATTGCTTTTGTATTATAAACAATTCCATTTTCCCCCACCCCGTGTTAATATGCACACAAAAATGAATTGAAAACATATAGGGTGTACACACATATACGTTAAATGCAATATTTGTATACTTCTGTACGGTCTTGTGGGTTAAAAGCTCGGGGCCTGTGGAGTTTAATGGTTTACACATATTGGTTGGAAAGTGCTTTGGAGAGCTCTTTACGGCTCGCCGGCGCTCGGCTTTTTATGGGTCTGGGCAATTGTGTGCAGGCCAAAAGGCGTTGACGACCGCTCTGGACCCGGCCAGTTGGGTAATTCTTTTTGTTTTTGACAACTTTGAAGCTTCAAAGTTGGTTGGACACTGTGGAAGCACACATGACCTAACTGGAAATGCTTTTAAAAATTATTTAATTTACCATTTTTGAAGTAAGTTAGCTTGCAAATTATGTAAAGCTTTACTAGAGTAACATAATGTATTGTTTCTTTGTTGGTTTCCTTCTGCACCATTTAAAATACTTGCAGTTTTAGTAATTTTTCATTTGAGAAACTGCTGTAGAAGTAAGGCAGAAATTATAATCACTTAAAATTGTTTTGTTTCTTATCAAAATTTAATTTTAATAATTTTTTTTCAAGCTCAAATATAATTTTTCTGTACAGATAAGCAGCTGCCACATGCCGAACAACTAAATACAAATAAAAACAAATGTTTAACGTACTGTTTCAAAATTATATCAATAATCTTTTTATAATTTATTTTATTATACATACTTGAATCAGTTCTTAAATTAAGTGCTTAGGTCTGATTTTTTTTTAATAACTTTCTTGTCACAATGGTCAAAAAATGTATAAGTTTATAACTTTCGAAGTTCCATTTTTCAAAAGGTCTCTGGGTCATAACAAAGATATGGGACCCATTGTGACATTCTTTTGCCCGGAATCGTAAAAAAAGTGTTTACATTTCATTCATAAAATATCAATTACGGACATGTGTGACAGCTAAGCGAGTGTGTTCGGGTGTATGGGTTTTGTAAGTCAAATCGATATCATGCGAATACGTGAGGACATCAGAGTTCATTGCTGGAGCTTCGTCCTCGGCTGGGTGACATTTAGGGGCAATATGGTGCACAACACGCTCCCTGATGGAAATTTAACGAGTTGCGCGACAACAGCTCTTGTAATGCATAGCAGCACAGCATATTCAGCTGCCAGTTCTGCAGATCAAAAAATGTGAGTTGACGAGAGACCGGCATCGAATTGATAATAAACAGGTCATTCGGAAGGAAAACAATTGATTCAAGCTATATTATAGGTATTTTAAAAAATAGATTTAAACCATCCTAACTCTTAATCTAAAATATGATCAAATTTTATGTGGAGCCTAAGGAAGAAAATCAATCTATTTTAACTTATTATATATTTCTAATTTTTCAATAGTATCTAAGTACAATATAGAACCGATTTTTAATGAATATTCAATATTCTACCAAACCTTTAAAGCTGTATAGTTATTTTTAGAGAACATCTCCCAACTATCTCCTCCTTCAGATTAATTTGTCTAATGCCTAACCTATAATCTACCTAAAGCATTTTATGCATTCAATGCTCATCTCGTAAAATGGTTTAGAACTTGTGTGAGTGGCGTTGCCTTAATAACATCTCTTCAATTCTACCTTAATTTAATGCAATAGCCTTAAGCGAATAGAAAACCAAAATCAAGACCACGCCCATTCGCTTTCGCCCTGCGGCTGCTCCATTTAAGTAAATGCAGCCCACAGCATTCGCATAACCAAGCAGCCCGGATGGCTGGCCCACCCACTTTGACACCCCCACAGCCGCCCACTGGACCACCCACTCGGCCACCCACTCAACCACCCACTGAGCCACCCTATTTAACATCCGATGGCCGCACCTGCTGTCTGCAGTTTGCAGTTTGCTGGGTGCACTTTGCTGCCTACTTTGGGGCGCCACTCAATTATTTATGTGCCCCTGCAGTGCCAGGGTTGCCATCCCCATATGAGGGGCGAACTTTTTCGCCATCCACATCCGCACACCACGTTGGCAACACGGAATGTCTTTAATGTTAATGACTCGAGTGCCGCAGAACTTTTGCAAACGCTTAAGGCGGCTTTGCGGCAAGACGACGATGCCGGCAACTTTCCCATTGTGCGGCTGGGAAATCTCAAATCTCTGGTGACAAGTTTCCGCTGCACACAACTTTTTATAATAGCATGCAGGCACTCATTAAAAACGCATTAACTATGCAATGTAAATCATTATTGTGCCATAAGTAGCACTCAACCGGTTCGTACCACTCCGCCACTCCCCGGGGCATCGGTATCATCTGGCAGCAGTTATGTCATCCCATGATTGTGTACATGTGTATGGCGTCGGATATGTGTGTTCAACAATGTCAGGGGCCAACCTATGAGTTATCCTGCCGACTGACCCGCAGGTCGAAGGCCTCAGACAGACCGCAGATGCTTTTTATCCAGGGTGAATCTCTTACTGGCATATCCAGTGAGCAAGGAAGCCGTAAACATTATTTTAAAAATTAAAAAATCTACTAGAACGTTTAAAAATGAAATGATTTGTATAACGACTATAAAAATAAATCCTAGTTAATGGTTATTTTAAAAAACATCGAAATATAGTTTTCAGTAACAATATTATCTAGCCTTTAAACCAAGTTTCCTTCATAGCTTGGAATGCAGAAATCCCCCTGATATACCAAACCTTCAACCCATGGAACGCGTTTACAAAGCATCAAGAGAAATGGCCGTCGAAACCAGCAATTTTTCACAATTTTTTTGCTTATCTGCTTAACATGTTAATAACCCCACCTGGGGGGTAATGCCATCCGCATCCCAAGGCATTCAAATGGAGGGGAGAGCCGACCATCCCATTCAGGTGGCGGCAATAAATATTTTATAAAGGCCAGACGACGTCAACAAGAACATGCATATAACATCCTCCACAGGTAGCGACCGTCGTAAAAAAGGCAACTTTGTAGGAAAGATTGCGCTGATGTGCTGAAAATTCCTTCCTTCCGTCTTGTCAACAACAGCTGAATAGGCCACACAATTGGCTGGCAGATGGCTAAGAGTCTGGCACAGAACCAAGGAACAAACTGGGGTTGTCCTTTTGACCCAAACACCCCGAGCTCTTTTCCCTACCCACATGGACCGACGGGATTTTCCATTTCTTTATTCATTAGCATTTCGACGGGTCGGGAAATCCTCACATTAATATGAAATTCTGCTCTGCTCTCCACACTTTTTAACCTAATTTGTTAGAGTGCGGAATGTTTAACAAATTTAAATAGCAAACCCAGCAAATTAGTTTTTATATGGCCAGCAAACAAATCTGGCCCAACGGCCTAAAGACCATTTCCGTTGTTAGCCCAATTTAACAGGCATTGTATTTGTTGTTAGCCATTAGTTGTCGGTGTTGAGCCGGGCTTTGGGATTTTATTTAAACATATTTCGGGCTTTTAATGAAATTTATGGCCCTATGTAAATGAAAATCTGTGCTAAAATGTTTTTAATTGCCTCCTCTAGGAATAAATCGATAGGAAAGCGATTTAATTTATGTGCGTTTAAGCCAATTTTAACTAATTTAGCCTCATTAGATTGGGCTATTTTAAAAGGAAAATGTAAATTGTGTAATTGTTCCGAAACAGCTGAGATCTTTGTTTAATTTTCAGTTATTCAATTAAAATATGCAATAATTTCATGAAAAATAACAATAAATATAGCCAAATTGTGTTATTGGTTGAAATTTAATAATAACCGCAAACAACAAACAACGACACCCATGTGGCCCGTAAAAAATTACCTATCACCACTTAGGGCCGGGAAAAAAGAAACCCATTAACCATAACGCTTAGGCAATAAAAATAACAAGCCGCATCAAATTTTAAAGTAACGTTCAGCCGGGGAGAAAACAAACAAATATAATTGCGCCAAAGGCAGCGGCTGTCCAAGGCGTTGACTTTTTATAGTCCAGGACTTTTATTGTTTGTACTTTTGAAGGAAAGTGGCCAAGACAATTTACTTGGGTCAAAGAAGTTGTCGCCTGGGAAATTCGACGACAGAAAATGTGGGGGAACTTCCTTATTAAAGCGGGCTTGGCTATATAGGTAATGCGATACAGCTATGCTTTGATTGAATTTGTATCGGTTTCGGGGTTGAACCTTTTTCTTGACTATTTCCATTTAAAATGTGGCTCAAGCTGGTTGTTTTCATTCTCGCATATGGCCATTCAGCCAGAACCCATTCTGATATTCAAGTTAAAAATGGAAAGCAAGTGAATAGTGATGGAAGATTCCTTAGTATTCAGGTGCCACGCATCCAGTCAGCTATTCGAACCATAGGTATCTCATTGTTCCCCTGCTTATTTGAGATTGAATGCAAACATAAACAGTTAAATCACGATCGTCGACCTGGAATAACCCATTTAAGAAAGTTACTCGCCTTGACTGGGACACGAAAAAACGAAGAATTATGATCTTTAATTTGGATTTGTTAACATAATATCAAATAAATACATATATTTTGTAAATCTAAGAGAACTTAGAATATAGTTAACCAATAAACACAAAGCACCAAACTCTTTACTTTTTAATGTGGGTATCCAGGGAAACAAAACAAACTCTAGCAGGCGTTTAGTTATCTTAGCAACCCCAGAACTTGTTGACGGCCAGTTGAAGAAACATAGTTAAAGAAATAGCAGGAAGTTTGAACAGGACCAAAATGAATATCACATCAGCAGTTTGGTGAGTTTTCCCCGAATATTCCCTGCCAACAAACACTTATTCAAGCGATCCCCAGTTGGTGCAACATCTGGGACAAGAACACCATTGTGAATGTGGGTCCCGATGTCCTGTGCCTGCGAAATGGCAATGCGATCAAGTTCGTCCACATGCAGACGAAGGTCGTCAGTTTTTTCAAACCGGAAACGGTGGCCACTGGCCTTAGCATCAGTGCTTTTGCTGGTCACAACCGTTTTCCGCTTTTCGCCTTTGCCGAGGTCGTTCTACGACCAAATATCTTTATATACCGCTATCCGGACATGGCCAAGTTTAGTTCCATTCCACGTGAGTTGCCTAGTTAGGCATTTTTGTTCAACCTTTAAATTTCTGTTTCTAATTAGCTCACCTGGTAAGCTACACCGACATCCGTTTTTCGGAGCTGGATCTTCTGGTCGCCGTGGGCGGCTTTCCTGACTACTGCCTGTGCGTTTACAACTACCGCACTGGAACCTTGGTCCTGGAACAATCCACCAATGTGCCCACCGTGCCACGTGGCATTGTGATGAGCTTCACCAGCTTGCCCAGCATTATACAGTTCAACAAACAGGAGATGTCCATCCTGTGCTATGACATCTGCACCGTCGAAAAAGAGTCCTTCCTGTACAAGGTGGCCGAGGTGGAGCTGGGCAAGGACTACCTTAAGTCCTGGGAAAAGTGTCTATCCTTCGGCGAGGATACCATTCTGTACGCCACCAACGACTTTGGTCACTTGCTAACAGTGGACGTGGCCTGTTTCGCCCTAAAGCTCCAGTGGGAACCCAATTACGGATCGGATATTGACGTGGAGCGCTGGCCCCGCGCCCACGGCCTTACCTACCATCGGTCCGGGTTTATCATCTGGAACAGTACGAACGCCTATTACGTTAAAAAGAAGGCGGGGGTCTACAAGGTAGGTTCCTATTGCCCTTGAATAATTTTAGGTAATAATTTTAATAATGATATAAAATTCTGCTCAAAAGTACAGCTTTTTAGGGTTTTCATGTAATTTTAACTCCAATAACTGACAGTTCTTATTGGGTCTAGATAAAACCCATTTAAGTTTCAGTAGCTACACTGATAAAAAAAACGTAGTAAATCCAAATATTTCATATTCAACCCAAATATTTTTCGCTTTGATTTTCATCCATTGCGGTTTTTATTAAATTTCAATATGCGCATATTAACCTTTTTTTCCATATTAAATTTAAATATTTTCGGAATAGATTTTAATATTTTAAATATTTAAGTTAAATATAAGCCATATTTAAATTAAATACAATGCATATTTCTATTTAATATTATGACTATTTGATTTTAAATTTTTAAAATTTGAATTAAATAGTACACGTGTTTAATATAAATAGAAACCATATTAAATTCTAAAATTTTAATAGTTAAATGAATAACCGAAATATTAAAATTCAATATAAGTCGTATTAAGATTCAATACTAGACATATTTATTCAAAATATGCCAATCATAATATTAAATATGATAAGTATTCAAATATTTTTGGTACACTAAAAAAAATTAGTACACAACTTTTATTTTTGTTTTTTCGATTTTATTTAAACATTTATTTTTCATTACGGCTTGCTGGAAGGTACAAATAATACAGTTACACTTATATTTATTTTACAGAGATCTGTATAAAACATATTTTTTAGCATTTACATCATACATATATGTGCATTGGATGGCTTGAAAACTCTTCAATGTTTTTTAAGAACTAATACATTTTTAATTATTCCACATTCATATGCCTGCAAATGGTTGCATGTTTTAACTTCTATAGCATTACACGCTACATACACAGTTGTCAATTCATAAACGAAAGAAAGTACTTTAAACAATCTTAGAGTATTACCTATCTTAATAGCTAAACACTAATTAGTTTTGTAAGTTATCTGCGAAATAAATAGTAAGATAAAAAAGAAAATTATAGATTTCGTTTTAAAGAGATCAATCAAAATATGAATGGTTAAAGATTTGGACCTGAAAGAAAACAACAAAAGAGCACAAAAAAAATAAATAAAAAGACAAAATCCGAATGTAGTCTGACTAAAATTATAAATTACCAATTCCGGCGCCCGCGAGTCAGCATATTTTGGCCATACTTTCAAAAGCTCAGCTCCATCGAAAGTTTTCACATCCTTACGCCGAGTATCGGTTTTATTCTCAACAGGAACCTCCAATATTTTATCCAGTTTTATATGCTTCGTTCTGGAATTTGTATATTTGGCATACAGCTGCGGCAACAAAAATAGCACCAGTGTGTAGGCAATTCTTCTTTGTGCTACAGAATGGTAATTTTTTGCAATATTTTTATTCTGTTTGTAAGGGTAAGTAGGGTTACATATCTATTAACTAAAATAAAAGTGGTTACGCCCACAATACGGATGGTTTTTAAAATTTCGATACATTTATCAAAAAAGTAGCAAAGTTATGCGGCAACAAAAATAGCACCACTTAAATAAAAAACTTAAAAAACTTAAAAATAACGCGATTTGAAAATTTTTTTTGATTGAAATGTATGATTTCATACACCTTAAGGTAAAAAAATATTGTTCTAAAGCTTGGGCTGCAACAACAACAACAACAACGACCGACCTTGACGTCACTAGACACCAGAATCTTCCCTTGGCAAAATTGTTGTCTGGCTCTTTCAAAATAGCTCGAGGGCAGTTTTTTTTCTTCGGTTTTGCATTAAAAACATAGTTTTTAACATTTCTGCAAAGATTTTCGATGTGTTTTAGTTCTGGGGCTTGTAAGGTCCCCATTATACCATTTAGCTTAAGGGTTTTAAAACTTTGTACGACTTTCTGACTGATTTTTTTTGGGTTATAACCGTGGTAAAGCTTCGGAAATAAATTAGTTTTGTATTACGAATAAAATTGCATCACAATTTCTGAGCTATCAAGGTGAACATGTTGATCCTGTATGGGTTTACATTATGATATGGTACCAACATTATAGTACGAGAATATGCCCATACCATTATACTTGCTTCACCATTATTATTCTTTGCAAATGTGAAATGGGGACTCAATTTTGGATATGTAGGTTACCTGATGTGAATTTAAAGTCTTTTTCATCTAAACATGAGCAATTTTCAGCCGCCAGACCATATAAGAGTGTTCCTTTTATTGTGGGCCTTATTTAAAACTCGCCCTTCAAATTCACCCATGCTCTGCAGTCTAGGGAGATTTTTTTTTTGGACGTCAAGCGCATAATTGATTTTTATGTACATTATATCCAACTTTTTATGTACTTACAAATATTAAAAAAAAAAAAGCGACTTGATAGGCGCCTAAAACGGGACCTACTTGCATTCATGCAAATGACTTTTTAACAGTTATGGGGTCATTGCGGCTTTCGTACTGCGTGCTATTCTTTTGTGTTCTTGTTTTAGGTAACTACTAATCATTATTTTAAAGAATTCAACGATTCAACTTAACTTATCTTTTGCATTGCCTTTATAAATTAGCTTTTTAAATGTCCTTCTATCTGTATCATTACAGCGCGCTAAATGACCCATTGGGAACACTATTTTATGCATTATTTTACCAATTCACTTAGTAGTACTTATTCTTAATACAACAAAACGAAAAACAGCCAACAAATCTGAGCAAATGAAGTTTTATACCCAAAAACCGTTAATAGTGCTATTTTTGTTGCCGCATAATTATGCTACTTTTTTCATAAATCTATCGAAGTTTTAAAAACCATTCGCATTACGCCCACAACCATTTTTACTTTAGTTAAACGATATGTAAACCTACTTACCCTTACACACAGAAGAAAAATATTGCAAAAAATGACCATTTTGTACACAAATAAAAATTGCCCACACTTTGGTGCTATTTTTGTTGCCGCAACTGTATATGTATGTTGGTTCGAGAATGTATTTGTTTGCCACTGCGAGGAATGATATAGAAAAAATGTATTACATATTTAATTTAAAACCTACTTTGCCGTATTCTTATTTTTAAAAATGTATTTATTTCTACGTTTTTTACTTACCTATGACTTTGCCAGGAACGGTAAACGCACGCTGTGTGTGGGTAGATGTGTTGCAGAAAATGTACATACATGTGTGTGTTCGCTAGGGCACGCTCAACTTTGTTGGCGACCAAGCAACGGTAAACGCACGGTGTGTTATGTATGTGTGTGTAGCTGCACTTGATTGTATGTTCATACGTTTCTGAGAACCGAAAATTTTAATCCACTTAATAATTAATACATTCTACGTGCATATGTATGTATGTATATGTATGCGTGTAACGGCGCGCGCTAATTTGTTGTATTCTAGGAAAACGCAGTACGAGTAAAATATTTTTGATAATTTTAATTTAACTTTTATACACACATATGCACATATTAATTTTTAGACTATTTTCACTTTAAAAAAGATACGACACGTCCTACTTCTTTGGCTGCAATTATGAAATGGCAAGCGTCGTGCCGTGTTGAAAAAGCGGAAACAATTGTACATATGTACATACATATGTATGTATGGCCGAATACAGTTTAAAGAAAAGACATGCCGCGAAAAATGTACTTTTTGGCATTGAATGTTGCTGCCAACATACACACTTATTTATTTAAAGAAACTTCACATGATTTTTTGATAGCGCGATCAAGTTTAATTTTATATTTGTATGCCAACTTCACTTTTATAAAGACCCGACACGTCCAACTTCTTCGGCTGCAACTCTTCAATAACACGCGTCGTTTAGTGATCAAGAAGAAGAGTCATTGATCAAAGCAAACGCGAAAGAATGTGTGTAGGATAGAACAAAAAAAAACCGCCAAGAATTATCTTAGCGCCTTCGTTTTTGTTCTGCCCATTTACATATGTACGTACATACATATGTACATATGTCAATTTACTTTAATGTATATAAATTTGTTTTTAAAAATGTATAATGTTTGGTCTGAACAAATGTATGGACATGAGTATACAGTTTATGAAATAAATCTTTTTGTTAAAGTCAGCTTAAAATATTTATTTTAAATATTATCGTACTTAAAAACGGACATGGCAGAAACTAATATTTAAATATGAAACATATTTAAATGTGATAGTACAAATAAAATACATTTTAATTAATTAATTTGTACGTAAATATAAAAGATATCTTCTTGAGGTGTTTTTATTTGATATAAACATTGAAAAACCCTTTCAAATTGACACTTTCTTTATTATTATTACAAACATTTTTATTTTAAATATTAAAAACTTTAAAATAAAATAATTTGAATACTCAAAATTAATATGAAACATTTTTAATTTAAATACGGATTTTTTTAATTCTGAAAATATTAACGATAAATATAATATTTTTAAAAATAAATATAAACAAATTTAAATTAAATATGCTCTTCTTTGATTTAAATATTTTAGTATTAAACTATGCAATTTAATATGTTTCGTATTTAATACAATGTTTTTTGTATTAAATTTAAATACGAAATATGAAATTTTTGATTTAATATGCGGATATTTAAATGTACTATTCCATTTTTTTATCAGTGTAAGCTCGTGCTTTAGTATTATAGTTAATGAAATGTTTACAAGAAAAACTTGTTTACATTTTAGGAACCGATTAAAATTTAAAGTTTCATTTCCTATAATAATAGAAACATATCAAGTCTTAAAAAAGTGTAACCATCTTGACAATACCATATAAGTTTCGCTGTTGCTGACTTAGGAAATAAATAAATATCCCAACGAGATATGTGAAAGGAACCCCTTTTGGTGTTTGAGAAGATTCGATAAGAAATTTTACATTTTCAAAATATGTGCAAAATGCTGTACAAGACTTTATATCGAGATTTTATCTCTTAATCGAATAATTGAAGGCAAAAACAATATATTCAAACTTTAATAGCATATATATACATATATATAGTGTGTATCGAATCCTTTTCAATTTCATAAATCGACTTTGATCTTAAAATATGTTTCCAATATAATATCCCTTTATTTCTTCTAGATTGAGTGGGAGTTGGAGTCCCGTTTGCATGAGGTCGTGCGTTTCCAGAGCAACAGCAATGGCGAGATCTACGCTGAGCGCCGACCAGGTCACATTGACCAGGTGATGGTGGACCGCAACGGGACGGCTTCGCTGGAGTGCGTGGTGCCCACGGGCAGGCCGGTGATCACGTTCCGTGTGCTCCAGGGCCTCAAGGACGAGTGTGTGTGTGTGCTGCACGACGAGGGGGTGGCCATGATAGACCTGGCCAAGGGTAACACCCTCTGCGAGGTCTCGGTGCCGGGGGCAGCGGCCATGTGCAACCACCGCAGCCTGGCCCAGGTGGCCGTGGGCACCCTGGATGCCCGCGTCGTCTTGATCCACTTCGAGCGGGCCAGTTTGCCCCACGTCCTCTGCGAACTGAGGTTGGAGACGGCGCCGGTGGTCGGACTGGAGTTCAACGACAGCTGGCTGGTGTTCCAGGATCAGTCCAAGCTGCTGCACGTCGTCCAGGTGGACAACAGGCCGCACAAGCTGACGCACTACTTCGAGATGAACCAGCCGGAACTGGGGCAGGTATTCATCCACACCTTCATGTTGGCCGACGGACCGCGCCTGATGGTCTTCATCAACCGGGATCACACCATGAAGCGTCCCGGCTACGCCACCGAGCTCTGGCTCTACAACTGGGGCAAAGACAAGCGCCTGCACCGGCGGGAGTTTGTCCTGCCCAAGGAGTACGGCTTCTTCTGCGTCCAGCCGCCGGTGGGAAGATGGGCCGTCATCGAGATCGTCGCCACCGAGAACAACACCCTGAACTTTGACCAGTTCGCGCTCAACGAGCGGGACGAGCTGCAGTGGATCGCCTCAACCAAGTCGGGGCACTTCAGCTTCATTCTGGGCGCCGGCATGACCAAGCACCTGGTCACCTGGAGTCTTGGCGGCATCTTGGTGCACTTCAAGCAGCACAAACGGGCCAAGAAACCCTTTATGATCTGCCGTTTCCTCAACCTGGGCATGCAAACGGAGTACATACTGCGTGTGAAGGAGTGCTTCAATTCCAAGTGAGTATCTAGGATCTGATCGAAGTTTTGGGAGATAAAAGAAACAATTTTTTAATACCCCTTAAATGGCTAACTAATGTGCAGATATCTGATTATCCTGCTGGCGAACAAGAGCATGCGGGTGACGCGACTGCCCTCCTTGGCGGACTTTGTGAGGGAGAATGTGGCCTTGCCGCTGCCCGTGGAGGAGGGCATTCCCTGCTTCGTGGAGGAGGTGGTCCACAAGGTGGAGATGTTTGTGCCCCTGAGTCTGCGCCAGGAGGTCAAGGAGGAGTATACACGGGCTGATCTGCTGAAGCGGGATAAACTGCTGGCCAGCATCAAGGATTTTGCCGCCAAGGTGACGGCTTTGATCGACTATGATATCTCGAAGACGGGAAAAACCCATGGGATCTTCAAGAAGTTCTGCTTCCACTACCGCTGGCTGGATGCCCTCACGGAGGAGGCTCACAAGCTGTGTGCCCTGGAGCGGGAATCGCTGGAACGAGCCATTGCGGATCAGGCCAGGATTCGCGACTGGATCCTGCGCCTGGTGACCCGCGATGCCGTGAGCATTAACTATCGCGTTCGCTCAATTTTCGCAGATGCCAACTTCGAGAGCTTCTCACTGCGACGCAAGGTTGAGATGACGGAGTTCGACAAGTATCGTTTCTACGACCTCGAAGACCACCTGCGCGTCTCCCTTGGCTCCTTCGAGGAGGAGGAGGCCCCAGCTCCAGCCGCCGGCGGTCATGGTCCACCTCCTGCCATCGAGGATGGTGAACAGGCCGATGAGGCGAAGGAAGAGGTGGTCGAGGGACTAAAGGAGTTAAAGCAGTTCGTGGTGGAGGGACCCAGCGTCTACGAGCACATAATGGCACCCGTCTTTCAGTTGCAGGACAAGAACTTGGTGACCTCGAACCAGTTGTTCAACTACAACTGTAAGATCCGCTACTATCTGAACGACCCACTCAAGGCGGAGTTCAACAAGCTCTTCCACGAAGCCCAGCAGCTCAAGCAGGACACCATCGACAGTGTGATGAACACCAATGTGGTGCTCAACAAGATCTACGACAACATGAACATCATGCTGCGACTGCTCAATATGGATCAATTTCAGCTTCCGGAACTGACCGTGCCTGCGTTGGCCCAGGATGAGGTCATCAAGCGGATCATGGAGGTGGACGACTCGGAGATCAAGGCTATCAATCGCAGAAAGCCCAAGACCATCGATACGGGCGGCAAGAAGGGCAGACTGCTCCTTTGGAGCCCCGAGTTCTGGTCTCGGGCCCTCATCGTGATGATGGACGGGGTGCTAGAGAAGCTGTGGGAGGAGGAGATCAAGAAGGACATCCCCGAGCCGGAGTTCATGCAGAAGAAGCAGCCGCACGAGTACAATCTCGAGGAGCAGAAGATCTTCCGGGCCTACGAGGAGGCGGTCCACCTGCTGGAACTGGATCGTCGCAAGTACCTTCGCATCCTGCACGAGAACGAGGAGAAGACGCTAGCCCTGAAGGCCGCCCAGATCCTGAAGCTCAACCAGCGCGTGGCCGAGCTGATGATCATGAAGTTGAAGTACGACTTTGCTCTTAAGCAGGGACAATTGCGTCTTCTCACCCTGGAGCAGATCAACTTTGGACGGGTCCAGTTGCAGAAACGCTTTTGCATGTTTCGCAAGGACATCGACAAGCTGAACGACTACATGACACGCTATAGCAACCTGCTCGACTTCTACGACAAGGCCTTTCTCGATGTGAAGACGCGACTGGAGGCCCAACAGACCCGCGATCGGGCCGTGGAGCGTCAGTTCAGGGCTCAGTTTTTGCCCCTGGTCCCGCATGCCACCCACGAGATGACCAAGCTGTTCAAGAAGCGGCCCAAGCTGCCGGGCAAAGTCTTCAACTCGGTGCTCATCTGCATGGAGGCCTCGAATAAGCTCAGTGGAAAGCCCAGCCACCGTACTCCCTTTCCCCTGCCCGACGACGTGCTGGAGTTCCTCAACTATCTCTCCGAATTCGACCAGCCCAAGCAGTGTCCGCCTCAGGTGGATGCCAAGTCCTGGGACACCTTCGTGAAGTTGCGCCGCCAGAAGACCGAGAGCGAGCTGCGGCTGAAGGGGATTGGCTACCAGCTGCTCGACAGCCAGGGCCTCCTGGGCGTCCTCAACAAGGACCTCGCGGCGCTCAAGGAGTCCAAGGTGCTCACGCAGCGCAATGCAGAGGAGAGCATCCAAGCATACGTAAGTTTAGTTATAGTTATTATCCTTTTCTGTCCAGATCTGCATTTATCCTTTCCCTGAAAGCTGCAACAGAATCTAATTTTTATCATGGCTGTGACACCGCTTTGTTAGGCTCATCCATAACAGCTCAAAAAATGACAACTATATATTTCTTACTGTGCTCAACACTTTAAATAGGACTAGGTTTAGGTCTGTACTAATTATATAAATGTTTTTTATTTAATCATCTGTAGTATTAAATTGTTAACAAGCTCATTGAATTCCATATTAAGCTGCTGTACAAACATTTTCTTAATATCGCAACGGGCAAGCTAAGTTGGTTTAATCTGTTTTAGCTATTATTCATTTGTTGCCCTAAATACAATTACAATTAATCTCTAATCTTGCTCATAAGAACTGCTGCTCATAGAAAGCTGTCTGAAAGAAATATTATAATGAAACAGCCGCACAATGTAGTGTTATAATGCTAAAGCCAATCGATTTGCATAGCTACCAAGAAAACAATTACAGCATACTCTTGGGCTTCTTCTGCTTCATAATAATTAAGACTTTTTCTTCTTAACAAATAAATATACATTTACCCACTACAGTTGGAAAAGATGAGAAATATGACCATTCAGTTGACCCTCACAAAGGGTCAGGTCGAGGTCTCGGTGTTGGGCCAGTTCACCAATCTCTCGAACACAGTTCTTATGCACGTGGACGACATCAACGAGGTGAATCGCCAGATACAGGTGAGCCCCGGAACTCCCAGGTGAGAGGGACTTTGATAAACTTTCATCTTATTACCACAGGACGCCGGAAACAAGAAGATCAAGGCTATGCAGCGAGTGGCCGTATTTAGACGCCAGGTGATCTTCAAGGAGTGGGAGCACAAGCTGTACAAGGCCAATATAGCTTATCTTAAATACATGCTGGACGCCATCGAGAAGTGCAAGGTATCCATGGAGTTCCTCAACATCCTACGCAACTGGGAAAAGGTCAAGACGGAGCGACAGAAGTACATAGCCGGTGCCATCGAACGAGTGATCGAGCAAAAGATAGCTAACTTCAGAAAGAACATCGAACGCGTGTAAGTATTACTTACTCACGGCTTGCCAAGATCTAAACCCAAACCTGTTGCCACCCAAGGAACATTAAAATCGACGCGGTAAAGGCACAGACCTTGGAGGTAAAGCGCAGCAACCACGCCATCGATTTTAAGATCGAGCGAATCAAGGTGGACGTCACTTTCCAGAACACCATGCGCGATACCATGATGGAGGAAAAGCGGGATCGCGAGCAGCGTGAGCGGTGAGATAACCTTTCCAACGGGAGCTGAATGATGCACCCGAATACTGTACAAAATTATGCTTACCTTATTTAAAAGAATATATACAATCGATTTCCTAGCTATATTAAAAGTAGATTGGCGGTGTAAGGAAGTTTTAAGTATGTTTAATAATATATAATTTTTTACCAGTATAGTTATATTTACACCTTGAACTCAGAACATTCTGCACAAAAAAATTCTTTATTATGATATCTGTATTTATAGATCTAAAAACCATATATCATGCTAATAGCGACTTATGTTTGCCTATGCTTAAGAGAAAATTATGTGAATCAATTGATTTTGTGTACTGTTTTCTGTGTACTGATAAGAGCACCATCTCTCTCACCCCCAGAATGTCGCAGATAAAGACCCACCGGCAGCTCATGGAGAATGTGCGCCGTCACTACGCCCATGTACTGGAATTGCAGACGATTCTGGAGCTACTTCGCCTCCGAACCTACCCCACTTTGGGTCCACCCCTGCCCCAATGCCATCCGCCGGTGCCGGAGCACATCCTCAGTTCGGTGCCCTAGGAGAAGTTCAACCCGACCAAAACCAGCCAGCAGACCATTCCATGGAGCTAAGTTTTAGCCACTTGGCGAAATTGCAATTAAATATTTTCATTGCGCCAAATGAAAATTTATTAGTGGTTCTTGGGATCTGGTCGGGGTCTTACGACTGCCGCTGCCACTTAATTGGGTTTGTTTGTGTCTAGGAAAATTACCAAAACGAGGCACAAAGTCATGCACTTTGAGCTCTGTTTGCTGCTCGTAGACTAATCGCTTTTGGGGCTCAAATTGGCGGGACGGAAAACCCTCAGCGTCGCACTTCACATTAATTGTTTTAATGGATTTCTCTTGAAATCATTTGTAGCTAAGCTAGTTGATCCGTGGTTGTATTTTGGAATAACTTACGCGATGAGACAAGCATAGGAAAAGTACCTTTTTCAGACTTAAGAACCAATTTAAAATACGCTTTGCAATGACACAAATATAGTTAATTCCGAATGAAAACAAAAATTTGCTGTTCCGACCAAGACTAAGTATATGTTAGAAATATATTCTTATATAACAATTTTCCATTTATGTGGCTTTTAACAAATTTAATGAAGTTTTATAGGCTGCCAAATGTATGGCTAGTTTTAATTTATAAATTAAACAAACTTAATTGAATCCCAAACCTAAAATCAACTGTTTTTCAAACATCAACAAAAGCATTTACCTATCGTAAACATTATGTCATTTGTGAACTCTGACCAGAAAACTAGCCTCTTATCTGTCTGGCCGTCAAAATCAGCGAACTGTACTTTCATTCGCTCAGTGTGTCAATTATTCTAATTGAATTGCAAATCATTCACAAAAAGTCTATTAACAGACCAAAATGAAAAGCTTTAACCTTTGGAGGTGAGTTACTGTATACACTATACTATTAACTTTATATTTTTTACCACATTAACCCTATAAAGTTTTTTTGCCGCCTTTTAAAGATAAGATCAGCGTGATCAAGCTGCGTTTCTGAGTTCACATTAAGTGAAACCTCAGTAAGAACGTCCAATGTTTGTAGGGTTTGAAAATGTCTTCTAATTTTTGACTTCAAATTTCTGTATAAGCTTGCCAATAAAAAATTTCCGTGCTTTAAAGTATTTTAAGTCTAATAATGATTGTGCACAAATGCTGGAATGTGGGTCGTCTTATCAGGAATTTCAAAAAAGCCTCTTATCAAGCTGAAATTATTTGCCACGTGCAGCTCGGTAATGGATGCTGCCAAACATAAAATTGATAAGAAAATATAAGAGAAATAAAACAAAATTAAAGCTTTAAACATTTTACAAAAACAGAAAACGAACAATAGTAGATAACCATATTTCCGGGTGCTGGATTAGAAGGCCTTCAGCACGGTTCTGTTTTGGCACATCATGCCATCGAATTACAGTGGGCGTTGCATATATTTAAAATCAAACAAACGAACGCCCCTCAAAAAATAATAATTAATTAAAAATTTATCTTTTGAATGGAAACTCAAGTTATTAAAATCAAACTTTAAATAGGAACGTCAACAGTTATTTAAAAATATGTTCTCACTATCAAAAAGGGGTTAGGATACCGAAATCGCAGACATTGTCATACTAACAAGCGGTTTCGCATAGCCGTTGTCTTCTGTAGAAAAAGCAAATTAGAGATTCTCCATCAAAGTAATCCCACAGCTGGGAGGCTAGGCGGTACACCACAACACCCAGCATGCGACGGAAAAAAGTACGCTTATCACGGGTCAGTTCCCTAGCGCTAAACGCTCGGCCTTCCTAGTGGCGATAAGCCGGGCTCGAATTCGGGCGGCTGCGACGCAAAACGAGGTGTCGTTATGAGTAGTTTGGCAGACGTTCAATCAGTACTCAAGTCATCGTTCTCTAGTTCAGAGTTCCGCAGCAGTAACAAAATCCAACTCAAAATGGCCAAGATTGCTCTGATCTTCCTTCTGTTCGCCCTGTTCGCCGTAAGTTGATGTTCATCAAGTCCCGGAACGGACCCCCAGGATCAGGATATAATTCGGGCCTTTGCTTTCAGGTGGCCATGTCCGCTAGTGTCCCCAGCGAGGAGGCATCTAACCCCGTGCAAGACGTTGCTAACCAAATCGCCAAGGCCTTCAGGGAAAACACTACTCCGGAAAAAATTGATGTAAGCCTAACCAATATGTTATAGCATTATACTCTTGTAGAAGGTATAAAGACTGTGGTCAGTTTTTTTTCGATGAATCGCTTCAGACTTCTTTGTTAGTCAGATCGCCTGACCGTTTTGGTTACATACGTGAACTCGGCATATTTTACAACATATATTAAAACCTTTCACATGTACCGTGTGCGTTAAAAATAATTTCACCCTATTTACTTGCTATTGAACAATATCAAAAGCCCAGTTGTCCGTCTGTCTGTATAAACGTTGTGGTCTTGGATACTACAATTAATATCGTTTATCAATACTTATCGCTTGAAAATGTTCGCATCGGACCATTAGTTAATAATTAGAAGGCCTTCAGCTCAGAAGAAGCATCGGCTTGCCGAAACAAACTTAATATTGCCTAAAATTATGTTCTAACCGCGTTCTTTTGTCTACAGGAACTGAAGGAGAAATTCGGCGAATTCTGGAATGCTGCTCTTGAGAGTGCTAAGAAGATCTCTGCCGAGACTAACCAGAAAATCCAGGAATTCGAGAACAAAGCCCACTAAGACGTTGATGGATGGCAGTATATTTACTACACAAAAAAAGTCTATAATAAATGTGTAAACTTTAAATCAAGTTTTTACCTTTTTGTGTGGTACGGATTTTTGTAATTCTAAATTACTATATTATTCCAAAACATTCACGAAGAAAAATATGCTTAGCACCGATGTTTCTTCAGTGTTAATTGGGATTGATAAATATTAATAACAGAGGTTTAAAAAACTTGAATGATTTCAAACTTATTTATAAAACTCTATCGCGAGAAAACTTAAATATGAAGATAGGTATATAAATACTCCTCAGGTGAAAATCTAAGCGTAAATTTATGTGCTGCATAGTGAATTTTAAAATTCAATTGGTTTAGGGTAAATGGTCATTATGTGAAAAGGAAAAACACGAAAAACGCTTAAAGAGACTTACTCACTTCATGAAAAGTTTTTTTTTATTAAATAATGAAACGATAGTGGCTCAAACCTTTATTTGCTTGTAATGTTTAATGGCAATACAATGTTCCTGTTATTGATTGCCTAGTTTTTTATAAAACGCGCAAACTTTGACATAAATACACAGTAAGTAATTGGCAAATTATTGGAACTACAGAAATACATTGCTGTGAAAGGGTGGCGTCTGCGAATTATTTGTCAGTTATTTTGCACACCTATCTGAGCTTCGAACATGAATAATGTATTGGCATTTGTACGGCATCACAATCTAACTCCTCCGCCGCGCACGATTGCATAGTATCAAAGTGGATTTTTCCTCTTTCCAGGGGTCCAGAGGTTGCACAAACGGAAGTTGGCTGAGGCGGATAATGCCAAATTGTTGCTTAGACACATTCTATGTACTCGTGTGTATCTGTGCGTCCATCAATTGGCATCTCTTGTGCCATTTCTATGGCATTGTTGTGTGAAATTTATAAATGTTTTCATTTCCTTTTTTCCGAGCTTTTCTTATTCAAAAGCGTTGGGGCTTACTCATCCATTCGATCTTTGATGTTTGTCGTGAGGAGAGGAGGGTACGTGGAATCCAAATTTGTCACACGATTGGGCAAATAAATTTGCTTGGATCTGAGTTTGTTTATCAATATAATAAGTGGTAATTTAAATTTTAAATTTAACAATGGCTTGCACTTAGCTAAGGTTCTTAACCAGTTTTATATAAGGTGATATTGCTAGCATAAGGTTCTGAATATTATATTATTACTTATATTCATTTATTGAAACATACTTTAAGGAGAATTCTATTTACTCTATATTTAACTAGTTTTGAAATGTTGGAAGACATAAGTACACTGTTAGTCATGAATTTCTCTGGCACTTCTCCTGAATTGTAATATCTTTGTTCCTTAACTTCGCTAACTGTACAAATCCGAAAGTATCTTAAGCACAATGATTCATTTTATTATTTCTTGTCAGTCGTTCTCAAAGCAATTCGAATTTAATTAAAAATTTATTAAATGCTGCGACACAATCGCAAGGAATCACAAAAGAGCCCCGGAGTGATTGGGTGGAATGCCATAGGAAGGGGTGAAATGGAAGGGGTTTTCATAGGAGTGCAACCCAGTTGGAAAACTGCGCTCTTCTGCGTTGCACCAAACAACTCCCAAAGCAACAATATGGTTGCCATGTCACGAAGTGTGTGTGCCAGTGTGAGTGCATTGTAATGCTAATTTAAATAACGATAAGCTCAACAACAGCACCAGCTACAACTACAACTGCAACTACAACAACGTTCATGATGATGGCAGCGACAACAATGGCAACAATAATAGGAAAACAATTTGGCATTCTGTGATTTTGTCATCCTTTCACGATTGTTGTTGTTAGTTGTTGATGCTCTGCCATTGAAGGGAAAAGTCCCTATTCTACGAAATCAATTTGGCTAATAAATACAAAGGTTAATACGAGATTTCAATTTGTTTTGCCTAAGGCATGACTTAGGATTATATTTTCATAAGCATTTACAACTTCTTTAAAATGAACGTTTGTTAGCAGCTCTGTAAATTAGTGAAAAAAATATTTAAATTTCAACAATTATAGCCAATAATATATTTATATATAAAAACGTATTTATTTATTTTATAAATAACAAAATTATTGGTTAAATTCCATCATAATACAAAGTTTTAAATTAATAAATTAAGAAGTTATATTGTTTTTTTGGGAGAAACTTGGATGGTTTAAATCCATTTTATCTATCTCCTGAATATTTTGGAATCCCTTACCATTTCGGAAATAAAATATTTGAATTTTTGCTAGTGCTCAACCAAAAAGGGTATTAGGCCTTCTTCCAGAAAATGAATTCCCTTGGAATTGTTTTTTTTTGTTGCTGGGTGTGCAGCATCTGCAGTAAGCCAGACACCACACACACACACACGCGCCCACACACACATCTGGCAATATTAGCGTGCAAGCGGGAAAAACAAATAATAAAGCCACTTGCGCATAAAGAAGCAAAAACAACGGCAAAGGAAAAAGTTTTCCGGGCAGCAGGACGAAGGGGGGGAAAATACAGAGGGGTGGCATTATCCTTTCTATCACTTGTCACATTTTCGCATAATGGCGTCATTGCTGCCGCTGCCTGTTGCGAACAATGAATACATTTGTAATGTTAATGGAATGCAGCGGGAACTGCGCGGAAACCGAAACGGGAACAACGCCAACCATTTTCCGTCGCCCATTCGAGCTGTTGTCGCCCGCATTTGTTTGTGTTTATCAGCCAGTTGCTCGGGCCCACAGAAAAGGGGGCTTTTCCAGCCACGCCCACACGCACTCCGCCGAGGGTTCCGCCTCGTCAGGGAAATGTTTTTTATTCGCTGCTCAAAGATGGCAGCGTGATAAATTCTGGATCTATATCAAGACTTTTAAGTATAGTTAGGTTATAAACCTAAAAAACATCTATAAGACTTTGGTATATATTTTTAAATTACCTCTAGGGATAACGTTTAAAAAATTTCAATGATCCTAAATTTAATAGTTTTAAAAAAGTATTCAATTCGAACATTACCTATATAATCTTTAGAAATATTTTAAATGTAATGAAAGTCTTTTGTATCTTATATCATCTATGTAAATATCAAGCCCCTTGAACAATTGTGGATCTATATTATTTCAAGACTTTTAATCATAGTAAGGTTATTAACCTAGAAAATATGTATGCAACCTAAGTATATATTTTTAAAATATCTCAAAGGGTAAATTTTAAAAAATACCAATGATCCGATAATAAATAACAAAAAACATGTACGACGTTTTAACATTACCTATATAATCTATAATAATTTAAAAGCAATGGGTATCTCTGGACTGTAATATATATCATCTATGTAATATCAACCCTCTTGAATATTTTAAACTATGTGCATGTATTTTTGATACACCTAGATACTTTAAAATACACCTCCCCACCATATAATATCAATCTTCCATATTATAATCATTCGCTCAAGATGATGATGGTGTTAGTTGACAAATTTATATATGTATTAAGGACTATATAGTGCAATTTCTTTAAAAATCTCACGCTGACAGCACTGCCCTTGTTCAGAATGCCTAGTGCTGTGCATCGGAGCATAAAATAACGTACAATTTTTATTAGAAATATAAACAGCAGAAAGCAAATGCAAATACGCACACCGAGATACACACACACACACAGATGCATTTATAGCTGAATAGACGCACAATGTGGCAGCCACAATAAAGAAATAAAAGGCTCTGCAGCAGCAGCAACAAATGCAACAGCAGCAACATAAGCCTCATCGTCGTCGTTGTCGTAGCGACATCAACAAAAAGCACAAAAGCATTTGCATTGCAAATGCAACATAATGCACAACAACAACATTGCAGCACGGAGCACACACATACTCACACACACACTGGCACGCTGACAGACACATTTGCTTGCCACTTCCGAAGGATGTTGCTCCTTGCATGTTGCCCAGCAGCAACGGCAACAGCAACACAACAGCAGCAACAGCAGCAACATCAGCGTGCCTGCAGCAACAACATCGAAGTATTTGCCATGACAAGTATTTAAGTTGCTCCGCTGCTCCTTCGCAGGACTTTATATGAATGCATACATAAGTCTTTGCATGCATTTCAATGCATTCGAAATGCGAGCATGAAAATATGTATATTAAGGTGCGGCAGGTACGACTAAACTTCAATAAAATCGAGGGGCCAATATGCATCTCACATAAGTACGTTTTTAATAATCTGTTGCTCTTGTCATGAAAATACATGATATTAAGCTTATATAAGTGTGTCAATGGAAATTCCCATATCTTTATGGTCAATGCTATTAGAAGTTTTCGAAGGATCATCATTTTAAGTACAAAGTTTAAAGAGGGGGTTCAGTTAACCACTGAGATATTGCTCCTGTACAAGACAAGAAACGCCTCTTCTTTCTAAAATAGGTAATACATATTTCTTAAAGTGTTATAC